GCTATGAAGCGTGGACCAAGCCGTGGTCCACGCTAGAAAACGTGGACCGAGCTGTGGTCCACGCTTCACAGCGTTGAACTTCTCATACACTGTAAAAAATTCCGTACTTTTGTACGGAAATGGTACAGAAAAATATAGTACGGAGGTACGGAGAAAAGTACGGAACGTTCCGTACTTGCTCCATATGAACCCATGTAAATGGGTACGGAAAATAGGTACGGAACGTTCCGTAGTTGGCAAGTACGGACGGTCCAGGCAAATTATTGACCAGACATGTTCCGTACTTTTTCCATACTTTTTTCTCACAGTGTAGGCCAATCACACTTCCAAGTGTGGACCATCCGTGGTCCACGCTTCCTAGCATGGACCATTCGTGGTCCACGTTTCCTAGCGTGGACCATTCGTGGTCCACGTTTCCTAGCGTGGACCACCGTGGTCCACGCTCTTTAGCGTGGACTTGGTCCACACTTGGATTAGCAGTGTGTACAAAACAGATGAACAGGTGCAAAATTATTATTCCAAGACTACACATACAAAACAGTACTTTAGTATTAACTGTGCATGCGTATGTTTAACAGCTAAGCAAAGCAGGGTCATAGACCGTGTGGAAATACCTACCGTCGAACACACTCCCATGTACACACTCATCCAACTTGATGTGTGTGAGTGTGTGTGTGTGTGTGTGTGTGTGTGTGTGTGTGTGTGTGTGTGAGTGAGTGAGTGAGTGAGTGAGCGAGAGAGTTGATCGTGTGCGGGCGTTGTCCAGGAAAAAGTCCTCTCCATTATTGATCAGCAGAACTCCCACAGGCGATGACCGCGCGACGCGAGCCTATTTTTTGTCCGCGGCATGAAACGTTAACGAGTCTCGGTGGTGTCGCCCCGCCGCGCGCGGTGTCGCGGGGCTAATGATGCGACCTGGCGTTGCGGCACCTCGATGCCCGTCGATGCCCGCGGTGGGAGTGAGGAAGAGAACGACAGTCCGGATCCAGACTGCCGCTGCACTTTTCCTAGGGTGTCGCACACAAACACACGTACATGTACACACAATCTCTCTCTCTCTCTCTCTCTCTCTCTCTCTCTCTCTCTCTCTCTCTCTCTCTCTCTCTCTCTCTCTCTCACTCACTCTCTTTCCATCCCCCCCCTCTCTCTCTCTCTCTCCTCTCTCCCCCTCTCTCTCTCTCTCTTCTCTCTCTCTCTCTCTCTCTCTCTCTCCTCTCTCTCTCTCTCTCTCTCACGCTCACTCACTCTCTTTCCATCCCCCCCCTCTCTCTCTCTCTCTCTCCTCTCTCCCCCCCTCTCTCTCTCTTCCTCTCTCTCTCTCTCTCTCTCCTCTCTCTCTCTCTCTCTCTCTCACACACACACACACACGTGTGAGGTCGCGCCTTGCAGCAAGCCCCGCAGCGCGGACGCCGCCTCGCCAGCGCCGCGTCTCCTCAAAGGCGACCGTGTGAAAGGAGCGCTGAACCGGAGCGGGCTGGTTAGTTATAGCCTGCCCGCCTGTGTGTGCTCTCGGCGATTGACATTTGCAAAGGAAAGTATCGCATCGACTCTCGCTCGCGGGGCGCAAGTGTGTGTGTGACTCGGTGTGTGTGTGTGTTGGACGAGTGCGTGGCCCTGTGTGCGCGCGTGTGTGTGTGTGTGTGTGTGTAGGTGGTGTGTGTGTGTGTGTGGTGTGTGTGTGTGTGTGTGTGTGTGTGTGTGTGTGTGTGTGTGTGCGTGTGTCGGTGTGTGTCGGTGTGTGTCGGTGTGCGTGTCGTCCGACTGTTCCAAACCCTTTTGATGTGTTGGCCGAGTTAACTTCTTCGGGCGGCACGCCTCGCCTCGGCAAAGTCAGTCAGGCAGCCAGGCAGGAGCATCACGGTCTGGGCGGTGGTGCACTGGCAAGAGCGCGCCCTGGCCGCGTCCGCACCACCACCACACTGTGGACCGCGGGTCCTCATCCTCGCCGTGTCCTGGCGGTCGCGTCGTTCCGCGCACGAGAAAACTTTGGCGGTTTTCAAAGTTTGAAGCAGCACACGACATGTTGATGAATGCGGCGCTCTGTCCGTCCGTCTGTCTGTCTGTCCGGCCGTCTGCTAGTTTGTTAGTAAACCGCGCGACAACGGGGTGACACGTGCGCGGCACTCATTAGCATGTGCTTATACTCGCGCGTGCCGGAACGTCGCGGTGCAGCGCTGCAGGCGGGGCGGTGGAGGGGAAAGGGGGGGGGGGGGGGGTGAAATGTCGTCACGTGGGGGCGGACTAGCGCAGTGCCATGGCGGAGCACTGCATTGGCACAGCCAGCCGGCAAAGCCCGCTGCCCCCGCGCCGTTTTTTTATGCCCTCGAAACAAAACGCGGTGGTGGCAGCTCGGCAGCACGGCTGTCGGCATACAGGACGCGAGCCGCTCGTTCCGGACGCGGTTTGCCCTCAGGACTCAACACAAAAGCCAATTCTTGAACCAAGCTACGTATACTACACTTAACGCGAGTTTACTTGAATCAAGAAAACTTAACTTACTGCAAGTCACTTTTCCTTGGTTCAAGGGACAGCTTTTCAGAGTGAACTCGCGGTTGACGCTGAGGTTATTGAGCCTCAGCTCATCATGCCGTGGGTCCGGCTGTCCGATGGTCGCGGGGCAGCACTTCCCTCGTCGGCGTGCTCCCCGCCGGGCGGCTCTGCTTTTGGCAGCGAGCGGACGAGCGCCGCTCATTTGGCCCAGTAGCGCCCAGCGCGCCCAGCTAGCTAGGCCTTGCTGGTTTTAACTGTCCGAACGTTTCCCGCGCGCGCAGCGGTTCATGTGTGTGTGTGAGTGTGTGCGCGCGCAAGCCCGCGCTCAACTGGCTAAATATAGTGGTGCGCAGTGCTGCTGCCGCTCGAATCGCGGTGCCCGCTTTACGACAGCGTAGTAAACCACACACACACACATACACACACACACACACACACACACACAGAGCGCGGCCGCCATCATGCACACGCACACACACCTAGGCGGCGTCCTTTTCATATCCACTGCACCGCCGTGGCTGTTTCTGATGGCGTCGTCGGGGCTAATTCAACTGCACGACCGCCGCCGCTACAACGGCCGCGGCGCCGTCGTCCTTCGCCGCCTGCGAGGGCCGGGGTGGGCAGTCCCGCCGAGCAGGGCTGTGCTGCGTGGTGGCCTATCCCGGACTTCGAAGGCGCTGGCTTGATTTTCTCTCTCTCTCTCTCTCTCACGGTAAAAACGGCACCTGGTTATCCCAGGAGCCCTATGGCGAAGACATAGGCGATTTCCAGGAGGTTCCTGGGAAAACCAGGAACCGTTTTTACCGTGCTCTCTCTCTCTCTCTCTCTCTCTCTCTCTCTCTCTCTCTCTCTCTTCTCTCTCTTCTCTATCTCTGCTCTCTCTCTCTCTCTCTCTCTCTCTCTCTCTTACTCTCGCTCTCGCTCTCTCTCTCTCTCTCTTTCTCTCTCTCTCTCTCTCTCTCTCTCTCGCTTCCGCGTCGTGGTCCTGATGTTCCTCGGCGCCCCCAACCTGTCCGCCGCTCCGCTAGCAGGACGCCAGGACGCGCAAAGCCCCGCGAAGCTTCGGCCAATTTGGCGGCGCGGCTGATGAATATATTCATTCCTCGGGGCAGACCGAGCTGGCAGGCAGGCAGACCACGCTCTAATGCGGTTTTATGCTTCCACTGGGCCACCCCCGACCTCCCCCAATCGCCACGCTGTCGTCTCTCAGGCAGGCAGGCGGTAAGGCAGGCTGGCAGGCGGGCAGGCAGGCAGGCGGGCAGGCAGGCGGGCAGGCAGGCAGGCAGGCAGGCAGGCAGGCAGGCAGGCAGGCGGTAAGGCTGGCAGGCAGGCAGGCAGGCGGGCAGGCAGGCGGGCAGGCAGGCGGGCAGGCAGGCGGGCAGGCAGGCAGACAGGCAGGCAGGCAGGCAGGCGGTAAAGCAGGCAGGCACGAGGCTGGGGCTCAGCATGGACAGCAGCCAGATCCCCGTGCGAACGTTGACTGGCCGTCGCCACCGCCGAGCGCGCCGCGCCGAGCCATTCCGAAGAGTCGGTCCATCGCTGCGTCTCTCTCGCTCCCCTCACGGACCGCACCATCAGTGCGACAGAGGACGACGCTTCAGGATGACTGTGGTCTGGCCGAGGCACACCTTTGTGGCAATTAAAGCGCGATCGGCGCGGCCGAAAGGCACCGCCCTTTCAGGCGCCGATCCAGGAGGGGGACAAAATTATGATTGACCCCCTCTTGGCTTCTAGATAGCGCGATACACTGGCATAACCACACTTTGCCCCTCCCTGGCCGGCTCTGGATCCGCCACTGCTCTCGTGCAGCTTCGTCCAGTGGGCTAGGAAACCGGCACCGGCGGCCAAAACCGGCCAAAACTTTAGACATGTATTGAGCTTCAGAGTAGCTGAACAGGACTCGAACCGAACGTGAGGCCCCACCAATGGATTCCTCGTTCAGAGAGCAACCCATTGGTGGGGTCATACGCTCGGTTCGAGGCCTGTTTAGCGACTCTGGAGCTCAAAAAAAGTGTCTAGAGTTTTGTCCACCTCCACGGTCCTCTGGCCCACTGTTCCCCGGGGACCCGGCCGGGTGCTCATCAGCCCCAGCCTCACCTCTCGCGCTAGTTTGCCAGTGGCGGCCCGACACTGGCGGGTCGAGGTGCGACTTGCAGTGCGGCGGCCCGCTCCCGATATTGCTTTCGGTTGAATATTCATCACGCCGACCCGACCAGCCCAGCCATGGGCCCCAGGGCGGCCGCATGCAACTTGGCGCCTTATTCGCTTTGGACGCCCCGAGAGAGAGAGAGAGAGAGAGAGAGAGAGAGAGAGAGAGAGAGAGAGAGAGAGAGAGAGAGAGAGAGAGAGAGAGAGAGAGAGAGAGAGAGAGAGAGAGAGAGAGAGAGAGAGATGTCAGGCGATTAGCGCCACGACCTGCCAACTGACCGGGCAGCCCCGGCGGCGGCAAATTGTTTTTGTTCCCTCCCAGTTTCAAGAATGCGTCATAACGGTTGTCATTGTTGTTGCAGGACATTTAACCGCGCCGCCACGCCTGTCGCCTTGCCCGTGCTCGTCGCCCCGAAACGCACACAAGGTAAGCACTCCTAAATGTTGTTTTGTTGCCCGTGAGAAATGGCGGCGGCGGCCCTCCTCCTCGCCGCGGCGTCGCGCGGCGTGCGACTCCACCGCCAAAGCAGCGCCTTCCTGCAATTAGTGATAACGCATCGACAAGTTGGCGCGCTTTTTCAAACGGATTTGCATCCGTGGGACTCGTTCGAGGGACTCGTTGTTGGCAAGCGTCCGCTTCCGGCCGGTCCGCCGCCGCCTCGTTCTTGTTCCGGCCGCTCCTTCCTTTCGGAGGCGGCGGTGCCGAGGCGGTGCCGGCAGCGCCCCCTACCGGCCGCCGCGTCGTGGCCCGTCCTTATTTATAGACCTGGCCGCGCAAATAAATAACTTAGGCGTTTGGACGTTCGGCGTGTCCGAGGCGGCTAGCGCGGCCAGGCTCCGGCGGAGGCAAAAACCGCGTAACAAACGGCGTCACGAAGCGGCTCGCCGGCCTGCCTCCGCCCCGCCGCCGAGGAAGACGCCGTCAGCGAGTTGCGGCGCTGTTGCTCCGCGCTCCGCCAGTCTGCCACGGTCAGCACCGTTCCGGCCGGCCAGTCAGGCGGCCAGCCGGGCAGCCAGCCAGGCAGGCAGGCAGGCAGCGGCCCGCGGGGAAAGGTCTCTCTCTGTACCCGGAGGGGAGCAAGTAGTGGAGGTAATTGCCCTTTCCGGATGAAGGGTCACCGGCGGTCTCCTCCGGGCCCTGCCGCCCTGCCGCCTGGCCCTGCAGGCCCTGCAGGCCCTAGCCCTGCCCGGACGGCCCGGACGGCCCGGACGGCGACTTCTCGCTCCGGCTGAGGCACATCTCCGGTCCCGCCGGTGGCGACCGTGCCGACCGTTCCCAGGCTCGCGGCGATGCGCTCTGCAGTGCTCTGTCTCTCTCGCACTCGCGGGCCGTCTCGCAAGGACGCGACAGAGACAGCGAGAAAAGCAGTGCTCAGCTGTACGCTCTGCTCGTCCGGCCGGTCGTTATCGTCGCTCTGTCTCTCTCGCACTCACGGGGCGTGCCGAGTAGGTGCGAGCGAGACAGTGGCGGGGCACGCGCGCGCGGCGGCGGAAGATGACGGTGGTCGACGCCTCCTCGGCGCGCTGACCTCTGCGCCTCGGCACGTGACGGTGTACCGTTGGCGTGGGCGGCGGTGGCGGCCGCGCGCGGCAGCAGCTGTTTATGAGTTCATCGGCGATCTGCAGCGTGCCGCGTCGCCGCCGTTTTCCGCGCGAGATGGAGTGAGCGGGGCGGGGCGGGGCGGGGCGGGGCGGGGCGGGGCGGGGCGGCCGCTCGCTGACTAGTTGGCATGCCGCCGGCTCCGTGGCGCACGACGCGCACGATCTGCCGGCACGACCGCGCCGGACCGTACTGCAGGTATCTCCGGCAGGCTCCGCCTGGCTCCGCCGATGCATCCCGGCAGTCCTTTCTGGAGCCATTCCAGTTCGTGTTTAAGGTCCTTTAAGTCCCGCCCTAAGTGGCTCGTTGCCGTCCAGGCCGTCGTCCAGGCCGTCGTCCAGGCCGTCGTCCTGGAAGGTCCTGCAGCACGCTGCCGGCCTTCATCGAGGCGGCCGAGGCGTTGCATCGCGCTGCCTGCCAATAGTGTGCCGTTGGCGGCCCGGGTCGTGCAAATAGTGCGATCAGCGGCCTAAAGGAACTGCAGGGACTGCAGACAGCGACACGCCGAGGCAGTGCATGGCGGACGGAGACGTTGCGTCGCCCTACCTGCCAATAGTGTGCCGTTGGCGGCCCGGGTCGTGCAAATAGTGCGATCAGCGGCCTAAAGGAACTGCAGCGACTGCAGACAGCGACACGCCGAGGCAGTGCATGGCGGACGGAGACGTTGCGTCGCCCTACCTGCCAATAGTGTGCCGTTGGCGGCCCGGGTCGTGCAAATAGTGCGATCAGCGGCCTAAAGGGACTGCAGCGACTGCAGACAGCGACACGCCGAGGCAGTGCATGGCGGACGGAGACGTTGCGTCGCCCTACCTGCCAATAGTGTGCCGTTGGCGGCCCGGGTCGTGCAAATAGTGCGATCAGCGGCCTAAAGGGACTGCAGCGACTGCAGACAGCGACACGCCGAGGCAGTGCAGGCCACGCCGACGGCCCGCGAGTTGCACCGTTGTTTACTGTGCGAACGCCGCAACGCCACGCTGGGAAACGCTTCAACGTTTTAATAGGGGGTCCGCGGGGGTATCCGATATCCGCTCGATCGTGTTCGCTCCGGGCGTGCCGGGCACGGGGCCGGGCCCAGGGGGAGGGGGGGGGGGAGGGGGAGGCCGGGGCGTTGCAGCACGACCGCGGATCGCGCGGCCGTTTCCCCGGCGAGACACTCCGCGAATACTTGGCTCTAGTTGGCGGGGGTATTGCTCGGCTGCAGCCCGGCCCTTGGCCTGACTCTTGGCCTGGCTCTTGGCCTGGCTCTTGGCCTGGCTCTTGGCCTGGCTCTTGGCCTGGCTCTTGGCCTGGCTCTTGGCCTGGCTCTTGGCCTGGCTCTTGGCCTGGCTCTTGGCCTGGCTCTTGGCCTGGCTCTTGGCCTGGCTCTTGGCCTGGCTCTTGGCCTGGCTCTTGGCCTGGCTCTTGGCCTGGCTCTTGGCCTGGCTCTTGGCCTGGCTCTTGGCCTGGCTCTTGGCCTGGCTCTTGGCCTGGCTCTTGGCCTGGCTCTTGGCCTGGCTCTTGGCCTGGCTCTTGGCCTGGCTCTTGGCCTGGCTCTTGGCCTGGCTCTTGGCCTGGCTCTTGGCCTGGCTCTTGGCCTGGCTCTTGGCCTGGCTCTTGGCCTGGCTCTTGGCCTGGCTCTTGGCCTGGCTCTTGGCCTGGCTCTTGGCCTGGCTCTTGGCCTGGCTCTTGGCCTGGCTCTTGGCCTGGCTCTTGGCCTGGCTCTTGGCCTGGCTCTTGGCCTGGCTCTTGGCCTGGCTCTTGGCCTGGCTCTTGGCCTGGCTCTTGGCCTGGCTCTTGGCCTGGCTCTTGGCCTGGCTCTTGGCCTGGCTCTTGGCCTGGCTCTTAGCCTGGCTCTTGGCCTGGCCGCAGCGGGGCGACGCACGGTGGGCCAGAAGACCGGTGGAGGCGGACAAAACTCTAGACGCGTTTTGAGCCCTGAAGTCGCTAAATGGGACTCGATCCCAACGTTTGACCCCACCAATGGATTGCTCTCCAAACGAGGAATCCATTGGTAGGTCACACGTTCGGTGCGGTCCTGTTTAGCGACTCTGGAGCTCAAAACGCGTCTAGAGTTTTGCCCGCCTCCACCGGTCTTCTGGCCCACTGTGCGACGCCAGCCTCAATAACAAAGAAGTGCGGCTGTCTGATCGCCGCGAAGGAGAGCAGCCGGCTAGAGCGAGCCGCTGGCTAGTGAGGTCGGGGGTCGCGCGCGTCCGAGCCTTGTCTCCCCAAAGGAACGGTCCCATTGTCTTGTTTCTTCCCTATAAATTGAGAGCGGTGCCAAAGCAGCGCTGCGGCCGGCCGGCCCCGCCCCGCCCCGCCCCGCCCCGGCGGGGTCATCGCAGGTCGAGCGCGCCGCGCCGCCGCCGGTCCGGGCCGCCTCGGCCGTTCCGGCCCGCAACGCTCTGCCTGCACTGCGCGGCCACGCGGCGTGCCGGTGATAGCAATTATCTCGGCTGGAGTCAGTCCATCCTCGGCGTCACCCACTTTGCATCCCGCCCCGCCCCGCCCCGCCCCGCCAGGCCCGCACGGAACATCCCGGGCCAGCCCGCGCGGCGTGGTGGCATGGCGCGGTTCAACGCGGGGTCGTTTAAAAATAGATTACGGTGCACGCACGCGCGCTCCAGGGACAGACTGCATTGGGTGGCCGCCGTGCCGTGCGGCCGTGCCGAGCGCCGTCCGATGCAAGTGTAGCATGCTCGTGAGCTATTTAGGCAGCCCGAGACGTTTCGGGTCCCGCAGCCACCCACCGTGTCACGCGCCCCAACAACAACATTAGCGGCGGTCATGTTGTTGCTGTTGTTGGTTTTGTTGTCCGACTCTTTTCCGAGTGCGCACACAGATAGACAGGCACACACGCGCGCATACGTACACACACACACACACACACACACACACACACACACACACACACACACACATACACACACACACACACACACACACACACAGAGTCCCTCTCTCCCATGTCGGGCTGCCTCCTTCCCTTGTTGGTCGTTGCTGCCTGCGATCGGATCTGGAGGCTCACCGAGTCGCACAGTCGGGACCGACAGTTTTCCTGTGGGACCGGGGAGTCAGGAGGTCGGGCGGCGTCGGGCGGCCCCGCGGCGGCCCCCGAAGTGGGACCCGAGCGCGAATCGCAATGTCGGTTCGTCAGCGGCGGGGTCGTCAAGTGGCGGGGCCGACGGCGTCGTCGTGACCCCGACGTACCGAACCGCCAGGCGGTGTATTACAGTTTACCGAGCGGAACGAACGTGGACCTAGGTTGCACTCCTGAGCCACACTTTTTATCGTATTTAGCCGCACTTTCTCTCTTCTTTCGTAGTTTTGCTGTTGGAAATCTTTTCGTTTCTTTTCCTTATTATTGCATGCGCAGTACACGATGCCATAGCTGAGATGCTGTTCCTGCTGATGTTACTCTAGCCCTTATCTGATGCATAAGTCGCGCTAGGCAGTCCCGATGGCAATCTTGCTTATGCCCTGCGCCTGGGCGGCTGGCTGCCTGCCTGCCTGGCCGCCTGTGGCTGCTGCCTGCCTGCCCCGCCTGCCCGCTGGTCCGTAAAGCGAGTAGCTAGTAGTCGTTTTATTTGCGCTTGGCGGCGGCATGGCGGCGCGGCCGTGCCCTGGCGGTGCCCTGGCGGTGCCGCGCCACGCTGGGATGAGTTCGACACAGGCAAACAGCATGACTCGAGAAAAAGCGCCAACAAAACGAAACTAAGGCACTGCCAAAAAGAAGACCGGACATCTCGACTCGACTCCAGGGAACAGCGCACGACTGTCCATCTGCCCTGGACGACAAGCGAATGCACATCCTTCCTCCGTCTGTGTGTGAGAGCGTGTTTGTGTGT